CTAGGAGCACTCTAAATTGAATCAAAACGCATTAAGTAGGCAAACTCGAGGAAGAAACAGTTGCAATGTAATGGAATATAGTAATACAGGGATGGGTAACAAACTGTTATGACTAATACAAGGGATAGTTGATGGCTGATTGTTGGATAGGAGATGGTGGCAACATATAAAAAGAAATTTACAGTTGAAATGAAAATCACCAGCTGACAGAGGCAACAATTATCTCTTTTGATAATTGCAATGGATAATAGTAGATTGTAAACTACATGTATATGTACTGTTTGCCAATGACGATGTGTATAACAAGTGTATAATTACTGAAAAATTTAATAGAATGACAACATTCTAATTTAAAATTTCAGCATGGCACACCAGAATCTGTAATAACAGTACATGTATTATACTCATTGGAATCGAAATCTGGTCGACCTCAAAATCAAATCTTATACTCAAGCATTGTCTACAAACCATTCAAATAGTAAAAATATCACAACAAAAAAACTATGACAATTAATACAATATTCCTCAGTAAGTCACAGGTATAGGGCTTATTCACCACAGATGGTCACGTGACTTTTCCCCCGGCAGCGAGCATTGTCCGCCATTAGGGGGTGCAGCCTGGTGCCTATCGCTATGGTACGCTATGCAAACTCTTGGCGATAGTTGCGTGTTTTGGGCCACAATCTAAGTTTTGAACACTCTTCTTGTTCGTAACATTGTCCTTGGGGTTGTTCTGGCTCCATGACCACGTCTCATGTTCTCAAGATCGGCTTTTATCGGCTTTTTTTGCTGATCAGAAATCGGTGTGTTTTACCCTGGCGTAGGGGCCTGTAGATGTCAACGTGGGTAGCCATGGCCACGTATCTGTTGGAGCTACCTTTCCTTTTACTCTGTGGTAAATGTCCACGTAGAACAGGGCCCTGGCAACTTGTAACACTCACCTTGTTCAGCCACAGTCGCGGCAGTGCGGACTGTGGATGGCGGCCGGTCGGCGGCCGATGGCCCCGCATTTGTTTGTTATTATCCAGACACAGTCCGGGGCTGTTCCAAAATAGCGACCTTTGCGTATCCCGACAGTCTACAACGTACTTCACCACGAAACTGCACGTCCCACAACACTCTCTGCACATCCTGATACAACGATCAAATCAAATCAAACGCTTTCAGACTCTTAAAGGGTTTGAACTGATCCTGTGTGTAAAAACTTCTGCCCCGTGAGTACCAAATACAAAGCTTAGTCGCGTCAATGGACTCCGCTGGCGGTAGACGCCGTCTCGATCAGACTGATCAAAACTCAACAAAAACGGGTCAATCCCAATAGATTTTATTTTGTTCCAGTAACGAGAGGTATGAGTGGTGGTAAAGTCTTCATGTAATAGGACAAAGGACAGTTTACCTAACGTTTGTCGGCCATTTCAACGCTTGGAAACTCACTGTAGAGGTGGACCCCAAAATGGCGTCGCACGGGACATGAGGGGTGGTGACGTCATGATGACGTGTGGTGAATAAGCTCTATTCTCAATATCAAACTGGAAGTGGAAAGATTAAAAAAACTAAATTCAAACATGGTTCTCATAAAATCTGAAAACAAAAGACTTCCTGGAAATTCTATCATTCATAATAACCAGTGTCATCAATAAATTTACGAGCTGTGTAACCCGACACCATTACCTGGTGACATCACGAGTGTGTAATGGTGTAATTTGCGTTTGAACATGACCTAAAAAGGGAGTCATGCGGGGTGCCATCCTGTGTCAGGGGACTGTGGCAGGCCGGGTCAGGATGGGTACTGTGGTGTGAGTCACTCGCACACCCAAGGTAACAGGAAGCTTCTTAATGAGGGTCTCAAGGGGTAAAATTAGAACTACAACAAGTGTACCTAATTTTGGTTCTCAATAAGACTGATAGTTCAACTGTATGTAGTATACATATGTTCAGTGTGTACTGATAAATATTACTTTAAATTTTTAAAAGATATAGTTCAGTGATCAGTGGACTACTAGCTTACAATGCCCTGCATATAACTCACCTGAGTTGCACATTTTAAGAAAGTATCTTCAAGACAGCTGTCTTGAAGACTGCAATACTTCCTTAAAATGTGCAACTCAGGTGAGTTATATGATGACATTCAAGCTCTCTACTGACCACTGGACCACATATGTTAGCTGTCACATCCCTAATCACTTTCAATCTGACATAAAAGATAATGGAAGGATTTTACAAAAGTCAAGCATATTTTTTTGGAAATATATTGTAGAACGTGGCTTTTTATACTGAGATAAAAGATAACAAGCATTTAAGCTAGGTTTTTAGCAATGTTTTCTAGAATCTCTACTTAATCTAATTTTTGTTTATCTATTTTCCTTTATCTGCATTCACTCACTCACTGCATTGTGATGATGTATTATTTATGTATGTCCTGGGCACCGCTGTAAAGCAGTGCAAAGTCCTTAATCTGAGTAAGCTCAAAAAAATACTATCAGACATTGTAAAGAAATAAAACAGTAAATCTGGGATCCTTATAACCCCCGTTTGAGCCTCTCAGGAAGGGCAGGGACAGTGAAGGCTGCATGGAGCCAGCTTCTTCCTGTACTGCCGATCAGCTGGCCACAACAAAGTCCAGTCATCACTCTCTCCACAGATAAAACATCCTCTGGGACCATAGCCTCACAACCAGGCAGAGCAGACAGGATGCAATTTTTCAATTTGCAAACAGCTTTAGATTTGGAGCATTGTTCTTCTGTCAGGTAGTACTTTTTACTTCAAAGTTATAAATTTCTTTTTGTTTGTTCTGGCTTTGAGTATAGCTACTAGCATCATGCTTCACCTCTGTTGAGGATGACTGACTGATGATGACAGTAACTTAAACTGTAGAGGATGAGGGACTGGTCCTGAAACTCAGGTATTATGGTACAGGTTTGTTGTTAAGATGATGCTGTATGCTACCCAGAAATACCTGCACAGCTCCAATTTTACCTGCACTAAGGTGCATATGCACCCCGTATTTCTAGCCCTGATATGATATAATGGTAGATTACGTACTGTACGTAAATGAAATACAGTCCCGTTCATGCAAATTGAAAACTACAATGTAATCTAATTCAGTAATTGTACCATTTGCCACCTACAATATAATGTAGTCTCAAAGTCAGACCAAGGAGTTCTTTGCCAGACATATCGGATCAGACGTATGCCACATACAGCATACACAGGGTCAGCACGTAAAGCTTATAATCTACTGAAGGCTCCTTAGTACGCAACAGCCCTTGCATTATACATGTAATATCATATCACAAGGTCTGATATCACAAGGTTTTGAGGATATGACCTTCAATCACCCAAGATAAAAGATCCCATGAAAAGGATGCTAGCCTCAAACCCAGGAACAGGAGACAGGATGCGACAAGCCAGGGAAGCCATACACATGGACAGGAACATCCCCTCAAGGCCTGGGTTTGAGACCAAGGCTTTCATCTGAGATAAGAAAAAAAGTCCTTTGGGATCTACAAGCCTCAAACACAGGCACAGGAGACAGGATATTACTGTACCAGGGGTGTTTCATTATTTCATACCAATTGCTGACACTTTATTTAGTCTTTCATTGTAGATAATACAATGTCATTATGTTGTTGGCTTCTTCTGTGATTATGACATAAAGACAAGACCATTTGAAATATAAAATTATAATTATATTTTTAACATCACAAAGAAACGAGAAGAAGCCAAACCTCTGTATTTGAGTAGCTTTAGAGTACTAGTAGCTACTGTTGTTAGATTAGTATCAGTAGTCCTGTTTGTACTACAAACATGTATATACCTTTGAATCTGTTTACCTGTACTTAGCCCAATAGGGCATGACTGTACAATAAAGGTTATCTGTTATTACCTGCATACCATCTTCGGGCTTTAGTCTGTGGGTCCCAATCTTCCCTCTAGCTTGTACTTGAGACACCCAGGTCTTATCCAGTCGGTTTTAAACTCATTGACTGTCTCAGCTTCAACTATTATATCAATGCCTTTATATAAAATGACATTCTAGTCTCAGACCCAGAGTCCAATTGAAGGCCTGTGGAGTGCTGCAAATAGGATTTGATACTTGATCCTTTTGAACTAAAATAGATTACCAGGATGTCTGGATCTGAGGCTAAATCTAGCCAATCTAGATAACCCAAACATGAAGAAACTAGAGGTAAGATGTAGCCTCAGAAACCAGCCTAAAACTGCCCTCAAAAAGACCTGGGTCTGAGCTTAGAAAGGTTATAGTGGCCATCGCTAGTAGCATAGTGTAACTGACACTTGAAAAGCTCATGTTAAACACATTACGGTCATTAACAGATTGTGCTCAACACAATACGTGTGAAAACATGATGACAAAACAACCATTATGTTTGTGTGTTGTTTTCTTTGTCTTTACATAAAAACACTCAGCGGAACGTACGCGCGTGCTAGCTACCAAAATCTAGACCAAGGACGTTACGTTACAAGCAGTAGTGCCAGTAATGTAACATGCAACATCTGGAACAGATCAGCTTCCCTTGATGACTAAAAAGAGCATGCCACAGAAAAGGCCTTTACCAAGCTGTAGGTATTTCTTGCTTTGTCTAGTACCGGGTTTGGTGGGGAAAAAATTCTAGCACTCAGCGGGAGTGTGGCTTGCCGTCAGCCGACACAGCGTGAAGTCAGTAATGTAAACAAACATCGCAACGTTTACTTTAAATTTCTACCGTCTCTCTGGACCGACTTTGGCCGGATTTTTCTTGGGCACAGGATCTACGTGCCTTCCACGCCAAACCAAACATGTCACAAAGCGCAGACTGGAAAGACACTGATCTAACATAGCAGCAAAGCCGGCACGTTATATCCTATCCTCCATCTGTACTCACTCAAAAACCCAACCCTCGCCCCTCCCACCTTCCCAAAGAATCACACAAAAAGAAAACTTTCTGAACTTCCTGGTATCGACACAAAGACTGTAAGAAACTCAGGGAAGGCGTACTTACAGAGTTGGTCACCATCTGTACCCCCGACAGTCCAAGAGAAGGCTAGGAGGAGGAATAATCGGAGTGTTTTGTTGGGGAACAAGAGGAAGTTTTGGGCTGCCATCCTGTGTGCCAGTTCGGGCCGTTCTCCGTAATCTTCGGTCTTTGACATCCGGGAATTATTCATCAGTCAGCTGATCCCGGCGTGCACCGCGGGAGGAACCCGCCAAATATGAAAATTCGTGGCCACGCCTTAGCCTCCACCAGGCCTTTCTAGGGGAATACGGATCGTAGAATTCGGAAAAAAAAAAGGAGAGTAAAATTGGCCAGGGGGTCAGGCCGCTGAAGGTTGTTTCTTTCGCTCACTTCGCGGCCAGTCAAACCTACATGGCGGCCAAACTCCCCTGGCAAATATTCTCTACTAGATACAGATAGCCAACGTAGTTAGTCTGGTAGAGACTAGCCGTGCCTTAATAGCCTCTAGCAGGCTTCGGGAAGCGGCTGGAAGGAGTAGAAATTGGTAAAATAGACAGATAATATGCCAGGGGAGTCGGTCCTCGCTAAGAGAACGTCAAACTGTAACGTTACTCCTTTAGTACACCAAGGAGTAGACTAGTCTCCACCAGACTCCTTTGCAGGCTGAATAGATACTTAGTAGTAGAAATCGGCCTAAAAAGGAATGCAGCTGGCCAGGGGAGTTGGCCGGCAAACTGGACCCTCTATGTCCAGCTACATTCCTTTTTAGGCCGATTTCTACTACTAAGTATCTATTCTGCCTGCAAAAGAGTCTGGTGGAGACTAGGAGTAGACGAAATCCACTGACATTATCATCTACTCTTTCCAGCCGCTTCCCGAAGCCTGGTAGAGGCTAGAAACGCTTTGAATTTGCATGGTCTACACTGATCATTCAGTGCAAGTATATTTGTTTCGGAGATTGGAAAAAAAAAAAATACTTGAAAAGTAACATTTGCAAAGCAAATGCATAATGTTTACCTTCGCATATGGTCTGCTCTATCTGTTAATTCTTCAGTCATAGGAGTACTAGTCTAAATATCTCCTACTATAAAACTGCAACATGATGTAACCCAACACCAGTTACCATGGTGACAGACGTCAACAAATCAGGTCATTGGCCAGGTCAGAGGTTAGTGTTTGGAGAAGAAGAGGAAGAGGAAACTGAGCAAAAACAATATGTTTTCCTTCGGTAAACATAACTAGTCAGTAGTAGTCTGGATGCCAGACCCCGCCTCGACACAATACTCTCTTCGGCTGGGGAAGCCTGAACTTGGCCCCGATCCCAGAGTTAGCACATGGGGGCTAATCTATCTCTCTAGCCGGGGTCTGCCCAGTCCTTTGGCAAAATACTTCTCAGAAAACAATCAACGGTAACACAGTCACTGTTTACATAAAGCGTGCAAGGGGAGCTTCATCGAAGATGGTACCCATGCCATAGCCTCCTCCAGGTCTATCTAAGGGCAACTGTTATGGGTAGTGAGATTCCAACAGTCGGCCAAGAGAGTGACCCTACGGTAAGGGTATATGAACTCGAGCCTCTACCAGGCTTCGGAATCGACTAGAAAAAAAGTAGAAATTAGCCATATAGACAGAAAACATGCCAGGGGAGTCGGTCTACTAAGGGGTTCATTTGACGCCTCCCGAAAAATTGACTCCTTAGCGGATCAACTCCAAGGCTGGCATGTTTTCTGTCCATTTGGTTAATTTCTACTCTTTCTAGCCACTTCTAAAGCCTGGTAGAGACTAGAAAAACTCCCATGGCGTTGTTAGCGTGGTGAAGACTATTCAAGCCAGCCAGGTGACCGCGGATACCCTCAGGTACTAGGTTGACCTGTGGTTACCCCGAGTCGGACTCTAATCTGTGTTTCCTTCGCCAGTCACACACCGTGACGTCATGGTCTTACAGAATACAAAAGAATGACGTGTCTGTATTAGTCTTGCGATACGATAGCGTATACGCGGTAGGGCGAAACAAAAAGCAAGGCAGACAAAAAAACAAGATCCCCACATGTTTAAATTTTGAGATCATAAACCATAATCATCGGATAAACTAGAAAGGTAACATTTGCAAAGCAAATGCATAATGTTTACCTTCGTATATTGTCTGCATTCTTACTCAAACACATTCATATATATGGTCAAACAGGAGTCTAATTCCCTCCCGCTATAAAATTGAAACATGACGTAACTAAACACTAGTTACCATGGTGACAGACGTCTGGTTCAGGTCATTGACCATATTGTTTGAAGACTAAGAAGAAGACAAAAACAATACGTTTTCCTTCGGTAAACATAACAAGAATTGAGACTACAAAATACGATATCACAATCAGCAGGCCATTTATTCCTGTCTTCAACAGTATTACCTGTCCTTGGAGATGTATACTGTTCATCTCAATCTCATGTTCGTATACTATTATACATCCTTCGTCAATTCAATTTCAATTCAATTCTTTATTAAGATACCAAACATAACAGACAAACATGACATAAAATGTTGCCTGAATGGCGTTGATATTTACAAGATAAAATGTCAAAAAATTATATAATTACAACAACTATAAAAACAGTACAGTGACACATCGTGACATCATGTTCTTACAGAACACCAAAGAATGACGTGTCGGTATGACTTAAGTTGTCATCCGATCCAGGTAACTCCTCCTGTGTTTATGTTTGTTTATTTATACTGACGCCACTTCAGGTCAAGCCACCACCGCCCCGTTTCTCACTGTAAGCCAACAGGTATGCATGAGTGTGCAAAACTCACTAAAGAGTCTTCGTTTTTCCTCATTCCTTATATGGAGGTAAACCCGCATGCATTTTCGCAGGGAAGTTTAGTTCTTTTAAAACGTTCTTTCTCTCAACTAGCTATTGTATTTGTACACACAGTATCTATAAATTTCTGTGTGTCTCAGAAAAAATATGTTCCACGACGTCTAATTTTACCTTATCGTCACTTCTAAGATTATACATTTTCTTCCGTTCAAACTCAAAATTGCTGACAACTCCGAATACCTTTCCCCTACTTTTCAAACCACGCACTTCCCCAACAAGCAGGAATCGCGGTGTCGCCATTTATCGTAAGAAAACAAAGTCTTCTCCAATCAGGGCGCAGTAGAGTACCCTGTCCTTGAATACACAACACATGAGTCGACACAGAGGTCAAACATAAATTCTTGTCCCGACGTTTTTAAGAGCTTAGTTTAGCCCCGGAATGGGACAACTCACACTCCAGTTGAGTCAAGCCAAGTCTAGCGTTACTATAAATATCACTTGATTAACCACTTTTAGGAGTTAGAGCCCTGCTACAACAATCATGGCGACCGATGCTGTGTCTGTCACACCCAGAATTCTACTGCTGTTTACATGCCTGTTCTTTGCCTTGGGAGGGCAGGCAGTTATAGGTGAGTTTTGAAGACTTCTTTGCCGTCGTGTGGTTGTCCTTGTGTGACTGAGTTGACAGTTTGTTCGGACGAAAACAATGTCTAAAAGACTAAACGTCTGCGACTATACAATGGGTTATAGGTACATTTGTACACTGTGTTGTGAGGTACATTCCACATGTGTCAAGGTGAGTTATAGGTGAGTTTTGAAGACTTCTTGTGCTTGTCCTTGTGTGCCTGAGTTGACAGTTTAATTTGTTCGGACGAAAATAACGTTTAGTCTAGAGATCTACGACTATATAGGAGTCAATAGACCCGTTTGTATACTGTGTTGTGAAAAGAAATTCCAAAAGTGTCAAGGGTGAATTTCTTCGTGCTCGAGGCGTTACTAAAAGGAGACCTGGAGACGTCGCTGATACTATATGGGAGGGGAGGGGTTAGGACATGTACGAAGTACTTTCACAACGCCATGTTCCCATCCGTGTAACGATTTAGCAGTTCCATAGACAGTGAAGCAGAGTTTACCAGACCACAATTTGTGTGGCTGCCAAACTTTGAACGGGATCGTCTCGCCCATATGTTGTTTCCTAAACGAACTCTTCCGAAGTTGTCAAAAAGTTACTGTCGACGTGCATGTTTCATATTGCCAGCATGCTTCCTTGCTCTTTGTATTTATTCTATTTCGGAATGTTATTACACTTGGCCAAAGTTGACAGAGTTCGCCACAAATATGCGTACGAGATAAATACCTATTTGTTACACCCATAACGTAATTTGAAGGACTGTGATGCCCGGCTTTGCCTTAGGGGGTCTTGCGTCACCAAACAGGCTTACTTGATGACCTAATTTGATCATAGATTAAAGTCCTTTTTTCTGTCAACAAAATCCCCACCGCCTGCAGCGTTTTGCACTAACGTTGTTGCAGATGTTGAATCGTTTCTTCTTATATTCAAACTGGCAGAAATGTCCGCAAATAACCTCCCCAACCTATCCAGTAGTAGAATTTGATTCGTCTTTGAAAATCGTTTACCTGGATGTCTAACCTTCATTCTATAGTTCTTAACTTGCATTATTAACATATCGCCTGGAGGCACAGGTGGGACGTTCTGTGCTGTAGCCATGAATCGCTGTGTTGAATACAGAGATGAACATACAGATTAGATCTCAAAGAAGATCTTTCGGTGGCTGCCATATAGTACCAAACTGGCAAGATAGTAACAAACTGGCGAGACAGTAACAAACTGGAAAAACAGTATCAAATTGGAAAGACAGTATCAAATTGGAAAGACAGTATCAAATTGGAAAGACAGTATCAAACTGGTAAGACAGGTCCATGTAGGCCGAACAAGCATTTCGAAGTAAAACACGGTGAGTAAAATAAAGGCCTTGACTTGACAGTATCAAATTGGCCAAGAAGTATCCAATACACCACCCCAAGTTTGGTTGACGTAAAAAAAAAAAAAGAAGTGACAAAACCAGCCACCGACACGCATAAGACAGACGGATACAAGACATCTATATGAATTTTGTACATACACACAACTAAAAAAAATGTCATGCTTTAGTTCACGACGGTACGACGATTATGCCCCAAGCCAAACCAAAGCTTGAAGAAAACACAAGGTCTTCTGAGACTACCCTGTACAAGATATCAACGAATTCCTAAGTCTAAAACGACCTTCGGTCTCTAGTAGTATCTATAACAACGGGGTCTACTCTAGGCCATGTCCCGAGGCTGTCTGACAACAACAGTGCGTGGTGTTATAATTGTATTTCACATATGATAACTGAATTGTTACATTTATTCCAAAGTATCGAAACTTTTTTCTGGCCAATAATGCGTTTGATAAAGAAAAGGGGGGCCTTTTCAAAACGACTGATGTGCACGCTACAGATTAAATATTCACCGCCATATCAGTGTTACCATGCATGCCGAAGCACACACTAGAAGGTTAAGGGTTCAGTTGTCTGTAGTGTGTTTTGGGTAGACCCTGAGGCGGGTGTGACGTGCAGTCACTCAGTGACCGATAGAAACATAGATAGCCTCTGTGTTACACAAACTCTCACAGCCAGGGGCTGATTGGGTCTTCTTCATCTCCAAGCAGATCCTGGGGCGGCAAAAGACAGTATCAAATTGGCCAGGCAGTATTCATTCGCCAGAGAGGGTCCAATAAGCCACCCAAGGATTTGCAGAAAGTGGTAATGGACAAGGATGGCTTATGGACCCTCTCTGGCAAATGGATACTGCCTGACCAAATTGATATAGTCTTTTGCCACCCTAGGATCTGCTTGGAGATAGGAGTTCAGAAGATAGGAGTTCAGAATTCTCCACAAATTGCGTCAGTTCCTCAAAATGTGTCAGTTTCACACATTGTGCCAGTTTTACAAGCTGTGTCAGTTTCACAAATTGTGCCAGTTTCACAAATACTGTCAGTTCCGCAAAATGTGTCAGTTTCACACATTGTGTCAGTTCAAAAAAACTATGACAGTTTAAAAAATCGTCACAGTTTGTCAATTCAAAACAAATTGTGCCAACTTCGCGAATTTCTCGAGAACGTCAATCATCTCGGTGCATTCGCTGCTATAGCAGGGCAAGCGAGCAGCTCACAATGCCTGATTGTGTGTCCCAGTGACACAGTGTCCCAAATCAGGAGTGACAAACCACAATATCCACATCATGAGAAAGAACTGTGCAATAGACTTCGACGGGGCTAGAGTAAAGACAGAGACAGCTGCTTTCTGTCCGATTACAATCCACAAAGCTTCAAAACAAAGGTTCACCGCCATCAACTGACATAACTACGTTATACTCACTTAAGTACCTCTAGCTCTATGCCTAGAAGTGTCCAAAAACAATTGGCCTTGCATTGAGCGACAACGTTACAAAAAAGAGAGAGGACAATAGATGATATGTACACGCTGGATTAAGGAAGCTGTATGGATCAGGAAATCTACTGCTGTCATGAACCGGGATGAGGGGGGGGGGGTACAGACTCAGTCACGTTTGAGTTTTTATGTAAATGACTACGATGTACATATCTGTACGTTTGGAACTGCTTTGTGGAATCTGTTCATAGTTATCTGTAACTGTTAGATAACTGACCACCATTATGTATATATACAACTCCCTCGCGTTTGGGACCGCATTGTAGATACATTTCCCTGTAATCCAATCCAATCACAAACTATTCCATCTAGGTTGTGTGTCCCGTTTTAGGAGGCAACTATGCTGATTAGCCCAGGCAGACGCCGTAGGGATCAGTTGTTAATGGGCAGATATGAAGGACAAGCGGAGTTAACCGGTACATCAATCAGGAGCGTTTATCTATGAGCGCCTCAGGCCGAGCAACATGCCCCACATGCATGCTATATATTGAACTGAAACAAGACACAGTACAGTCTACCTAGTCTCCTTTGCAGGCTGAATAGATAGTAGAAATCGGCCTGAAAATGGGCTTTAATTGGCCAGAGAAGTTGGCCGGCCGGCCGGCCATGTACTGCGTTTATATATACATGTAGGTGCTTGGGGGTGTTTCTGTCCAGACGTCACCCCCCCCCCCAAACCCATACACCCCAACCTCAAGGTACAAGACGACAAAGTAGTTAGTTGTAGTCGAGTCATTGTCCCTCAGGTCGTTGACCCTGGTACGTGACTTTACTGACCCTGAGTGACCCGCTAGGAGAAACACGATATGTCACAACAAACACCTGCAGCCAGCCTTAAAGGACCGGGGACCCAAACAGCCGAATCCTAATCTCCAAGCAGATTCTATAGGGTGGCAAGGCAGCATCAATTGGCCCGCAAATTCTTCTTGTTTCTCCCGCAACTCTAGCCTCCCCCAGGGTTGGGGAGGCGGCTGGAAAGAGTAGAAATCGGCCAGATGGAGAGATAGCATTCCGGTGGAGTTGGTCTGCTCAAGGAGCTTCCTGCTGGAGAGAACAGTTTCCCGCTCCCAGGACATTCGTGACGCCATTGAGGGAGCGGCAAACTGTTCTCTCCAGCAGACCAACTCCCCTGGCATGCTATGTCTCTATTTGACCGATTTCTACTCTTTTCAGCCGCCTCCCGAAGCCTGGTAGACGCTACGGCAAGTCATCTATCTATCACTCTATATTTCCTGTCACTCCGCTCTGTGGTTACATCATTCTCCCCTCAGTAACTACGGACACACACGCAAACATACAAACCACCGAAAGCAGTCATTATATGTACCTATTAAAAGCTTAACGGTGCGGGTTTTTTTTTTACAGAACCTGTTGAGGTTAAAGACGTCGCGATTCTGCCCGGCACTCTACTTTATGCTGGAGAAACCGCCACGCTATACTGCATCATCACCGGAAGTGGTCACCCCGTCCCCACCGTCACCTGGTCCCGGCAGTCCGGTGCACTTCCGGCTGGCGCGGAGGCCGACGGGAGCGCGGCGAGCCTGACACTGCGGAACGTGGTAGCGGATGACAGCGGGGTTTACGTCTGCACGGCGGACAACCACGTTGGCAGACCCGCAACGGGAAACATCTCAATCGTCGTCTGCCCGGACGTACGTTTTCACGTCTTTTTTTTTTAAATTTATTCAGAAGCACACTGGTGAATACAAATAAAAGGACATGGACTAAGTGACTGCGAACTCAAGTTAGGTACAACTTATATTCTCGAAGCCACAATGAAAAAAAGGCGTTTACAAGACATGGATAGCATGAGAACGAAAGCATAGCAGGACACATACACTGACTAGAAGCGTTTTGTTTCTGTGATGTAGTTTTGCGCGGCTAACACAATTTCAGAGTTAATGTCATTCGAACAAACCAAACTGCCGCGAAGAACTAAAAGTTGTTTAGCATTGTCAGAAAGTGTATTTCTCTTACACCACAGCTGCCGGACCCGGAGACTTGCGGGGACAGTAACCCCAGCTGCCTGAGCTGGGCGAAGTCGGGAGAATGCGAAAGTAACCCTGGGTGGATGCACCCGAACTGTAAACTCAGCTGCGGCATCTGTATTCCGGGTAAGCCCTGAAAAAAATCCAGCAAAAAAAATGCTGCTAAACCACAGAAATACGAATCTGGTACTGTGAATTTGCATTAGTACATAGAGGCACATTCTGGCCCTTTGTGGCATTTATGAGTCGGCACTGTACTGAGTTCTTGAGTACCATGGACTCTAGAGCGTGGGTAGCCTGGGTGGTAGATTGAGTGTAACAAGTCGTTCGGTGTAATAAAGCTAGCTGCCGCCGCGCCGCGTGCCTGCGAATCGAAGGGCGGTTACAGCGGCTATACCGATACAGGTACTCAAAAGAAACCCATACAATTTTTCCGTGCTATAAATACCACCCTAATGTTGCAGGTCTGCCCCTGGAGTGCTTAAATCGGGGCCGAGGGCGCGCACTGGACACCTGGGAGTGCAATGACGTCACGAATGTCCCGGATGGCGTCCGAAACTCCCTGTCGTTGGACAACTTTTACCAGGTCGGTGCTAGAACTTTGGGCGATTACAAAACACGTTTTTCTACTGAATGTTGCTGAATACTTCGTGTCCTTTTGCAGTTGACGATTTACGTTACGATGGCACTGGTAAAAAATCACAGTAATTTCTGCTTTTACAAGATTACAGAGGTTAGTGCCGGTTAAGACGAGTACCTTACTTCTTGACCCCTCATTGAGTCCTTCTTGAGAAAGACAAAGTCGAAACCGGTCGAATTCTGTCTCAGTGCTGTCTTTTTACCAAAGCTACGAATGATCCACAGGCGCCCTAGAGGACGTCCCAGAAGCAGATGGGAGGACCAAGTTTGTATTGGACACTTTTATAATATTGGTCAGCAGAACTGACTGGAGAGTGCTGGCCGAAAACACAACATTCTGGAGGGACATGTCTGCAGCCACCAGGCATCTGCCCTGATGCTTGCGGTTGATTGATTGATTGACGAATGATAATTACGGCTTTTATGTCATTAAACGATGTTACCTTTCTAATCAAAAATATACCCTTTTCTAGAAATATCTCCATGCGTACGGCATCCCCATCCTCGGCTCCTCCATCGTGCCGGACGAGGCCATCCGGAGAGCGTGTTACGATGTGCTGTTCCTGTTAGCGGACAGAAAGGACCTGAGGGACTCGTACTATAACTTCAACGGCAGGGCCGCCATCATGGCGCAAACTGAAGTAAGTAAGAGCTAGCCTAGCCTCCTTCGCAGTCTTGTTGGGCGTCGGCGTAATTTTTTCTCTGAGCGACGCGAGTAATATGCCGCCGCGAGGGACGATTTGCTGCCGAGGGAGTTTTTGCCACGGAGAGAAGGATTCGCTCCAAGCCCTTTTTAGTCGCCGACTGGAAGCAGTCTTGTTGGAGCGCGAAACCTTCTCTCCGTGGCAAAAACTCCCTCGGCAGCAAATCGTCCCTCGCGGCCGCATATACTGGCGTCGCTCAGAGAAAAATTACGCCGACGCCCAACAAGACTGCGAAGGAGGCTAGAGCTAGCCCCCTTTTCGCTTGTGGTTAAAACGTCACTGGCACAAGTAGGCATATTGTCCTAATGACATTTTTATATTGTTTTTCAACAATATGCATGCGACAAGACTTTACGTATTAGGTCAGCATTGTTGGTTAACAATACTTATTGTATATAACAGTACGTTACATTTGGAACCACATATTTCACTATTGTTGTAGCAGTATCTATGTATGATATGCTGCAATACTATTACTTTACGTTTGGGACTGTTTGTAACACCTAGCTTCACAGTTATGATTGCCCAGATGAAGACAACAGATCTAGACTGACATCGAATTCGAAACGTCGGTTCCTATCAAACAGGTGGTTGTGAACAAAGAGTTTTGCTATTCAACGTTCTGTTGCCTTGTGTTGTCCTGTGGTGCCAAAGAAAAAAAATTCAACCACGCTCTGTTGTTCTTTTGCCGCAGGTGACGCTGGACATTCCTGAGCATTCTGACCTAGACGTATCGTACAACACGCGGGCCAGAGGCCTGGGCGCCACCGTGGCCAGACCCGTGTCCACCGGGGCTGAGGAAAACGTCCTCTGCTATACTTCAGACAGGTGATTATTATCATTTTTTTATACTCCAACATTTCATGACTGGACATGATGACGGCAAACTCAAATTATGTCAACTTATTTCATGCCGCCACCAACGCAGTGGACAAATACAGGACAGACAATACTCATTTTCACTTGAGTTAGGTAAGGAAAGTCGTGTAAAGTGCCTTTCCCAAGGGCACAAGATCGGCGGCATGTCAGGACTCGAACCCGGGTCCTCTTGGTTCCGAATCGAGCACTCAGCCGTTACGAACCCACAACATGTGATTAGCAGGGGGTGGGTTATCAGCGACAATATTAGGAAACTCAAATCATTGTGCCCTGCTGTGAAGATAGAAAGTTAAAGCTCAGACTAGGACACTGTTCTCTCTTACGCAATATATTGTGCTGTGGTTGGCTACATGGCTATGAAGGAAACATAAGTCATGACATGTACAAGAGTGAGTGAAAGAACAGATCCAATTGCCTCCGTCCCTGAGGCGTCGCCAAAAAAAGCAAACCAATTAAAGTCAACTATGTTTTATCTTGGGTAATATTTGACGTAAAACATAGGAAACGTAAAGTTACTTATCTGTAAGAAGAGACGTTAGCAGAGGTAGATTTCAGGAGACTTGTTATGGTTACAAATGCAGGTGCAATGTTGCCTCCGTCCCTGAGACGTCACCAAAAAGCAAATCAATTAAAGTCAGGTATGTTAATCTTGGGCACTATTTGACATAAAACATAGGAAACGTCAAGTTAGCTGGACTGGTAACTGTAAGAAGAGAAGTTAGCAGGGGTAGATTGCAGGGGACTTGTTATGGTTACAAATGCAGATGAATAGAATCTGGTCAAGTAAAAGCAAGGTGAAGGTCCAACGGTCTGGCCGTTAGCAGTGGATAGAGAACTCTCAAGTACCAAAAAGTCAACTAAAGAAGCATATAGAAGCATATGGAAGCATACGAAGACATGATAGTACTGATTCAAGCAACGAGCAAGGTTGAACAAATTTTTCTTTTTCGACTTTCGACTGGCCAACTCCGGTCTTTGTCAAGTACTGAGCAACCCACTGCTTCTTGGTCTTACTCATTCCTTGACAAAGACCAAAGTTGTTCAGTCGAAAATTTGCATTGTTTGTGTTGACAATTACAGTTCAACCTTAGTTCAGAACGATATGACTTCTAGCCTCTACCAGGCTTCGGGAAGCGACCGGAAGGAGTAGAAACTGGCCGAATAGTCAGATGATTTGCCAGGGGAGCTAGACCGCGCCAAGAGAACAGTTTCCCGCACCCAGGTGTACTCTCTATCGGACCCAACTCCCCTGGCATGTAATCTGTCTAACTGGCAAGTTTCTACTCTTTCCAGTCGCCTCCTGAAGCCTGGTAGAGGGAGGATAATGACTTCTATACCAATACAGATCAACTTTCAACTCTCGGCTAGATGATTGTACAATGTCTTAAGAAACAATGGTTTCCCTCAGGTACAAGAGTGAAGACATCTTCCTACACGAGTTCTCCCACGGGATAGACCTGCTGGGAGCTCGCCAGGTGATCCCGGGCTGGCGGTCACGTCTGCAGGCCGCCTACAACAGCGCCAAGGCCGCCGGGCTGTGGCAGAACACGTACGCTGACGACACCATCGACGAGTACTTTGCCGAAGGTGAGCAGAGCTACAGAAGCTGGTTTGTTACACTGAGGCTCGATTATAACGGTTATATAGATACAGAATCTGATACAGACATAGAATGCGACCGCGTCTTAACTCGAGTCTTGCCGGGCTGTGGCAGAACACGTACGCTGACGACACCATCGACGAGTACTTTGCCGAAGGTGAGTAAAAACCTGCCTAGTGCTATGGAGGATAGGGAGTATTGAAAAATCTCCAATCAGATCTTTCGGTGGCCGCAAAACTTGACAGTATCAAATTGGCCAGCCAGTATCCATTAGCCAGACGCGTACGCGGACGACACTATCGACGAGTACTTTGCCGAAGGTAAGTGAAGATCTGCCCAGTGCTATGGAGGATAGGGAGTATTGAAAAAAAATCTCCAATCAGATCTTTCGGTGGCCACAAAAGACAGTATCAAATTGGCCAGCCAGTATCCATTAGCCAGACACGTACGCGGACGACACCATCGACGAGTACTTTGCCGAAGGTGAGTGAAGATCTGCCCAGTGCTGTGGAGAGTAGGGATAATCTCCAAGGAGATCATACGGCGGCAAGGCAGTATCCACTGGTCAGAGGAGTCTATCGATATAGCCTGGGTACCATCCGGATTTTCGCTCCGGAAAAGTCGAAAAAAAATTTTCGAGCGTTGCGGAGCGAAAATCCGGATGGTACCCAGGCTACAATCGATACTTCCTGGCCAAGTTGATACTGTCTTTTGCGGCCACCGAAAGATCGAATGGTGATATTTTACGACATGTGTGGGCTCCTTCTTCGACAGTGTTGTTACCGACAATGCTGTCGTCTTACATCCTTGTCGGTGGTTTCAAGTCGTTCGGTGTCTTCTGTGACAAGAAGACAAACTGCATGTTCTGTCCTTGTCACCGAAGCCGCCTGTCTGGAACGCCACCCTCAGTTCCGATGCCTTAATAATAAATGGTTTTTATTGTCCAAACAGTACCCGTGCAGTCGCAGCCTGTACACGGCTGAATTGATGCAGGGTATCACATAATCAATACAAATCACAACAATTACAACAATCAAATAATACACATGATACACATATTTGTCGCAAGGGTCTGTGCGGCTGCCATTCGGCGCCACAAGGTGACCTCAATACGACTTTCCCCAACCGAAGTTAGGTACCCATTCACACCTGGGTGGAGTGAGGAAAGTCGTGTAAAGTGCCTTTCCCAAGGGCACAACGTCGGGGCGCATGTTCAGACATGTACCGGGTACGACTCGGAATCGAACCCGGGTCTCCCGGTTCATAGTCGATTGCTCTATCCACTACACCACCCGACGCCACTGTAATTCCCGATGCCTTCCCGACAAGTCAGTTCTGGCGACGATACTGCCATTTAGTCCGCAGACCATCTCTTGGTTTTTTTTTCATCCTAGACATGTTCATTGTATTTTAGATCTATGTGTATTGTGTTATGACTATGGACTTTGCCTAATTTGAACAATGAATATATATGGGTAGTTGCCGCCGCGCCGCGTGCCTGCGATGCTAGTGTGTTAAGCCAGGGAACGGTTTTACCGGCTATAAAGACAGAATGCATAACTCGAGTCTTGCCGTTCTGCAGGTGTGCAGGGTTATTTCGACGTGAACGCACAGAGTCTACGGCCCAACGGGATCCACAACCACGTGAACAACCGGACGGAGCTGCAGCAGTACGACCCCGGCCTGTATCGCCTCATCAGGGAAATCTTCCCCTGCGGAAACACGCTCGTCAAGCGCTGCGATCCAGGTAAGTCCGCATGGGTAACTTGACACATCCTTTTTACCTTCGCCAAGAAGGTTATGTTTTCAGTAGCGTTTGTCCGTCTGTCTGTCTGTCTGTGAACAGCATAACTCAAGAAGCTTAGTATGCATTGTCATGAAACTTGGTAGGTGGGTAGGTCTTGATAAGACCTAGAAATGATTAGATTTTGGGCCCCCTGGCGGCTTTTGTTGGTACTGCAGCAGAACTTCCGGTTTTGATATCTCGCAATCTGGATATGTCAGGGTCACGAATTTTGGTTGGTAGATAGCTCTTGAGGTAGGGAAGAAGTGACATAAGTTTGGCCCCCCTAGCGCCTTGTTCTGGAACTGCAGGAGCATTTGTGAAAAATTTTTGAAGGATGATAACTCAAGAACCGGTGGACGGATTGTCATGATTTTTGGTATGTAGGTAGCTGAAGTGATGCTTGACACAATCAAATGATAATTATGCAAATCAGGAGCTAATTTGCATAATTAATGAGTAAATTCTATTTAATCTGCTTCGTTCGATAATAGGACTATGAAACACGTGTGACATGTAATAGAGAACGAAAAAAACATCTGAGGATATAGATTATGTAAATGAAGACCTAATTTGCATAATTAATGGGAATATTTTATAATTTCATAGTTGTAACTTCTGGGAATTTCATACTTGCCACATTTGGAAGTTAAGTGAAGGCAAACATCAATAAACATAATTTATTCAAATCATGACCTCATTTGCATAATTTATGAGAAAGTGCTATAATAGCCTTTTTGTGAAGATAAGGTTGTCATTGGGTGGAAAATATGATCAACTGATATAATCCATGCAAATGAGGCTCTTATTTTCAAAATCAATGATTAAAATTGTATGATTCTTCAACCGCAAGGGTTAACATCATTTGGCGAAGGTATGAGATCGTGGAACTCTTGTTCTTTCTTCTTTCCTTTGTCTATGTAACGTCGAAAAGTTACGCTCCCAAAAGAAGATAGTTCAGAAAACTTAACTCTTGTCCCTCCTGTCTAGTTTTCCCTCTTTTTTTTTTTTGGATTTTGTTATACCCCAATTAAAGACGGGTAAGTCTGCAAACGCAAACCCTTTTAATTCAGGTGAATCGTAGCCGGCTAATTTAGGCAGGATCAGTCTAGGTACGCAGTGGAGCTGCGTACCTAGACTGATCCTAGACTAATCCTAGACTAATCATTTACTGTGAACAGAAAAAAAGTTGTTAACATGCATTGATGGGCAATATACTTCAGGCGCCAGATACGTAATGAGATTTCTCAGATTGTTAACAACACTTGGTCAAGACCGCCTTAGCAACAGACACAATACGAGAGAACGCCCTTGGCCTTCTCTATGTCCAGGTCCACATGAATGAACAGCCGAACTACCGCCTTTGTGTTCCCTATTCGCTTCCCTCGGGCAAAGCCTGTTATCAACCGGAGTTATCAACCTAGGATTGAGGTGTTAAAAAACTAATTCTTTCCTACAACTATCGCAGAGTGGAGCTCGCTGTCACCAAGTATGGTAGGGGGCATTATCACTAGATAGCTTTAAACAATGTTTAGAGTTAGATGTTCAAAGTTTAGATGTAACAAGTCGTTCGGTGTGTGGTAACCAGCTGCCACCACGCCGCGTGCCTGCGAAGCTGGTGTGTTACGTACGCCGAAGGGCGGTTATACTGGTTATACCGATACAGATACAGACAGAATATTCGTTTACTTCAGGTAAAGCTCTTCTTCAGGGCAACGAGGTTAATCTTCGTTCAGGGCCACATTAAGCCGACGGTATCAAAGTGTCATCACTGACCCAAACCGTTCACCACCCATTTCAACAATAATCCCCCTGATTAACGAGTCAGAGGACAGTGTCCGATGTCTGTGCCCCTGGGCCGAGGGTTCTAATCCAGGCTGTTGTCACCCACACTCGCACGCTACTGGATAGTACTTCAGTCCCAAGGACAGGGGACTAGGCCTGTAAGAGTTACACTACGAACAAAGATTATTCATTGAAATTGTATAGATAGTACTGTACATAGTGCATGCCATCTTCACGTTAAACAGAAAGACAGTGAGAGACAGAGGCAGAGAGAGACAGAGCGAGGCAGAGAGACAGAGAGAGAAAGAGGAAGAGACAGACAGACAGATAACACCCGAATAAAAACAATACCACCATACACGGAGGTAGATAAAAATTCTATTTGATCTTCCCTCCTTCCAGACTACCAGAACACCCGCTTCCGGTTCAACTGCTTCGCGGAGGGCCGCCAGCGTGACGTCATCACCGGAAACAGGGCTTTTGGGATGACGGACAGACCGACGACAACCATGAAACCTTCCACTATGGCAGCCGCGACGGGTGGAGACACAACCACCAAAAGCACACCCAGGAAGCCTCCCACCAAACGCACACCACGTTTCCAGGAGTCACGTACTACCGACAAGCCGATTTCTGCAGGTAGGACATCTTTCGTTGTCACTTCGACTTTTTTGTCTCCTCATACTATAACATCAGTCAACACCGTCGCATATTGAAAAATTCGCAGTAAGCATTTCGGATTTCAAGAAAGGGTTTACGATCTGGGCTTGTGCACTTTTCAAAGACCCTGTATTGAGAATCCGACAACAACACATTTGGCTATAACTGTTGATGCCCACCTGACAATGAGGAATGATAATAGATTATGCACGATAATATCTGAAATCTCATGTTCTATAGACCGAGCCGAACACATCGAACCCCTGACATGTTCTATAGACCGATCCGAACACATCGAACCCCCGACATGTTCTATAGACCGATCCGAACACATCGAACCCCTGACATGTTCTATAGACCGATCCGAACACATCGAACCCCCGACATGTTCTATAGACCGATCCGAACACATGGAACCCCTGACATGTTCTATAGACCGATCCGAACACATGGAACCCCTGACATGTTCTATAGACCGATCCGAACACATGGAACCCCCGACATGTTCCATTTCGAATTCGAGCTTTTAGATTTCCCGCGCTGATTTTCACGGAGGTGTTTGAAATAGAACAGGGGGTTCGATGCGTTCGATCAGGGTCGGTCTATTAGCCCACGGGTACGAATTCGATATTATCATGGTGACCTGTTTTTTTTTTCTATCCGTTGCAGCCACGTTGTTGACGCCCCTGTCCGTGTTCACAGTCACGGCGGTGACTCTAGCGACCATGGTCCTCACCGCCTCCCTCCAGCCTTAGTACACCATGGTTTACATCTTTCCACGTCAAAATCACTACAACTCATAATGTAGATCTAAAATCAACTGTAGCAAGAAGTAGAGTAGTCAGATGCCTTCAAGCGGAAAGTATTTCCATGTTTAAAACTTCTAAACATAACATTTTTGCAGTTTTTTTAACCCCATGTAACAAACGATGATCGTGCAATGTTTTCAAGATGAGTGTGCAATGTTTTAAAGATTGTTTTTATTTGTTGCAATAAACCGATTGTGAATTATGATATCTGATTAATATGTATGTTTAAAATGACCAGTTTGTACGTTCATGAGAATGTCTATATTTGTACTTATGAGGTCATATGAGTTATATAATTGCTGTTTGTAATGAATTTCAATAACAAATATTAATGACGTGCAGGGTAAATTGGCAACTGTATGATTTTAACATATATGTGAAATAAAGATCTTTCTTACATATCAAAAGTGTAAATATATCATCTTTCCTTAATGAATATATGTGCAATACACGGTTATGGTTAAGCGACGAACTACAAAATTTATGAATGAGACATTTTTTATCGTTCTAGCTATGACAGAAAAAAAAGGAAGACTTATATACTCAGATTTTAAAAAAAGGACCTCTTAGCCAACCCCTGAGGTTTTAAAGTGCGCTGAAGTGCTTATTTTGACTTAGATACTCAGATAAAACTCTCAGTCAACCGCTGAGTTTTAGACGTTGAAGTGCCTGTTGTGAGTAATACGCGACTGGTAAATCATTTACTACCGAGTGTTATTCACCTGCGCAATGGTTGTTTGTCTTTTGTGTTCTTGTAGTGCACTAGAGGTCACTTCCTACTGTAATACCGTAGAAAGGGGAACTTCACAATCTGCATAACCACCAGGCCAAAAGGTCCAGACTGGGTCGGTTAGTAACGCCTATACCTCGTTGTTACACTACTAAAGGTTTATATATTTTGTTTGAAGCAAATCAAGGCTTTATGTGTCTAAGGAATCCGTATAACAATCTCTCGGGAATCGCCTGCACACATTTTGTCAATGTTTAAACTGAGTTTTCTTCTGACAAACACACAGTAGGTCCCTCGTATTCTTTGTGTTTTGCCGGTAGAAGCGAAAAAAACATCCCGACTATATCTTTCGTCACCTTCGCCACAGGATTAAGTAGAATACAGAAAGGGTCCGGTTCTATGGGCAATTGGAAGCGTTGAGACCGCGTATGTGTTGCATTAATTATAACAAACAACAGACATGATTTAGATAGGGTAAACTCGTAGCCTCCATAGCATGCCAAAAACTCGGGGTTTGGGGGTCTTCAGTGTCTTTGGGAGCTTTTATGTGCTATTTTCTGATTGCATATAGACAACATAGCCGGCCTGGTTGAATTACCGGTACCCCCGTTAGAACTGGGCTAATCAGAAAACAGCCGAACCACCGGAGGCAAATTTTTATACATTATGATTCAATTGATACGTAATGAATGACGCCACAATGAGTACGCTCACCATGACTAACGAAGAAAAACATGTCTCACCTTAAACCCCCGTCTTAAAGTCTTAAGTGTCAAGGATGTGGCTAAGAAAGGGACGCCTACACTATGAGTCGAGTAAGGGTACATTTATACTTCCGGTTCCCTTCTTATGTCCGTCGTAAAAGATTGTACGAACCGTGTGCGACCCTGTAGACTAGTGACGCAAACCTTGCACTTGCGTCAAGCTTGTACGCGCGTTTGAAAACACAATGGTTGTACGACCACTAAAGTTTCTTTTGCGAACGTCACTGCTTGTTCTGCATTTGTCCGTGTTGTGTCAAGCGTTGCGCCGATTCCTTTGACCAACCAGCTACCTGTGTTACCCGACACCTATGCTGACTCACCACACGTACACGTTTGTTCTGTTGCACGTACTGAACTTCGTTACGCCCCCTGTACACTACAGGCTGCTACCTACCTAGCCTCCGTAGCAGGCTCATAGAACTGGGGATTTGGTGGTCTTCGGCTGTTTTCTGATTAGCCCAGTTCTAAGGGGGGTAATTCAACCAGGCCGGCTATGTTGTCTATATGTAATCAGAAAATAGCATATAAAAGCTCCCAAAGACCCTGAAGACCCCCCAACCCCCAGTTTTTGGCATGCTATGGAGGCTAGCTGCTACCGCAAACATTTCACAGATCGCTCAACGAATTTTATACACAAAGAAAGATTTTTCACTTTTTTTGTGTGTCTTTTGTCATCTTTTAAATACTATATTAAATATTGTGTATCGTATTCCAATTGTAAAAATTCAGGGTCAAACAAATCCAATACTGGTCGCTGAGTGATGGCCTTCGAATGGGAGTGGGGCTTTGAGCGTTTAGAAGAACTTCAAAAGCTGTACAATAAAGTAGGGTGGTGTAACATAACATTGCACAGGGTAAGTACATAGGGTAACATAACAGTAACATGACATATGATAGCGCGTAGTAACATATCTCTGATCCACTTAAATCCCGTTAGTGGTTTGCTCAGGTATCAATAAGCTATCATTTTGAATAATTGATAACTGGCGTCACTTTATCAAAAGACGTGGGAAAGAATAACAAAAAATGAGCAAAAGTCAAACATGGATGAAGACAAGATGTGTACACTCAATAGTGGTTGCTTCTTGTTCGGGCAGACAGGCTATATAAAGCATTGTAAATGTGTCTAGGCCTAGGGGCTATAGACGACAGTGGGTCTTTATCTGTGTCGTTCTTTTGTACGAATTATTTACTACCACGTAATATACTAGTCTCTACCAGACTAACTACGCTGGCTTAATATATTGGAGAATATTTGCCACGAGAGTTTGGCCGCCTGGTAGGTTTGAATGGCCGCTTCAGAGGGGAAGAAATTACCTTTCCGCGGCCGGACTCCCTTGGCCAATTTTTTGCCGAATTCTACGATCCGTATTCGCGGTGTGAAAGGCCTGGTGGAGGCTATACATGTACCTTCTCGGAAAATGCCGTAAACTGACCTCAGATGAACCTGCCGACAAGATCCCAACCCATGTACTGCCCCCTCCCACCTTTTTTTATCCTCGCCGTTTGTTTACGTTCCAAACAACCCTTGAAACCGCGGTTAGGATTTCCACCTTGTTGAACGGAAACAATGAGGCGCGAAACTTGACCAACTGCGCGCCGCGCCGCCGGGTTTAGACCACACCTCTCCTGCCCCCGTACTGCCGGCCGCAGGTACAAAAGCCTCTCTCACGCGAGGTAGCCGCGGAGAATCAGTCGAAGTGTTGTCATTCTCGGAGCGGACGGTCGGAGGCTAGGGCGCAGCGCGAACGAAATAGACCCGACAGACGGACAGAGAGAACACAGCGTACCGGACACCAGTCTTCGCTAGACTACACCGGGACTTTGGATCTAGGATTGTTGCTCCTGTTGGACATTTCGTCGCCCTTGAGGATTTTTTTCTTCATACACGGCTGCCTCTAAAATGATATGCCAATGACAGCTATGTGCGGTGTACGGAGACCCTTCTGGACGTGCCTTCTGGTGCTAGCCCTGACTGGGACTGCCTTCGCCACAGGTGAGATCTTTGTAGCCAACAAATGTAGCAGTTTTCTGGTACTATATATACTGCCACTTTTGTAGCCATTTGTTGCGGGGACAGTAAAATCCTGTGGACCAAAAACAATTTGAGAAACGCCGACCTATTCAGCGGCGCTGACGAGTAAAGAGAGCTTCTTGCATGCAAAATACGGAGAGCGTAGCATGACCAGACACTGCGAAGTCTTCCATTCCGCGGTCTAAATAGACGAAGTCTAAACCGGTATACGGCGGACGCACCTCCAAAGCAGACAGAACATAAGCCAGTATCATGTATTTTTACCAGCTGAAATAATATACCCCCGCCCCTGACCTTCTTTTATGGATTAACCGACCCAGAAAGTTACCGCAGAGCTAGGTGCTAACGTTGCGCCTAACAATTATTGCAGGTAGACATGTTTTCGTTCGTCACACATCATAGTACTAGTAGAACGCAGTGTTCTGTTAGTTGCCAATCTCGCTACTGGTTCGCAAAGTCGGTATTTTGATCTTGTCTACCTGACCGCGTTTTTGTGACTGTCATGGACTCATGGCAAGCGCTTTGGTGCTCTGGGGGAGGACGTACACGTAATTGTATCCCTCCGACCGGGATAAGACAATGTCTGCCCTTACTTAACTGTATACGGAGCAAGGAAATGGGGCCACTGATGGCCGATAGGT